GGAGGAGATAATGACAGGGAGGAGGAGGACAACGAGGAGGAGGAGGAGGAGGAGGAGGGGAGGAGGGGAGGAGGAGGAGGAGGAGGAGGAGGAGGAGGAGGACAGGAGGAGGATGTTGAAGGGCCAAAAACACGACAAAACCATGGCACTCAAGGAAGCGCGGGCCAAACGAGCCCTGGCCAACGGCCAACGTGGCCAACGGCCAACACCAAGGGCACACGTGCAAAAAGGGGGCTCACGGACACGAGCTGGGACCTGACCTCCGGCTTCCTTTCCCTGACTAACTCCCAATAGCGTCAGAAACGCTGTGCCTTAGGGAGGAAATCAAGAAAAGAACGCAAACCAAGGACCGCCCTACACCCCGCGCCAAACTGGCGCATGGGGGGTTCGGGATCGGCGCCCAAGGGACAATACACGGAGCGTTGCCCAGCGCCCGCACCCCCACAAGCACGGCAACAGTATGCCCGCGGGGAGGACAGGAGGAGGAGGGACAGGAGAAGGAGGAGGAGGAGGAGGACAGGAGGAGGAGGAGGAGGGAGGGAGAAAGACCCCAGCATGCTCGCGTCGTGGACAAAACAACGATGAGGAGGCTTTCGGCCATTCTCGCCCTCGGGGGGAAAAACGGCTCGGGATGGAAAACGGCCCCAGGGAAAGCGTCGGGACTTCGACGAGGGACACCACATAAAAAAATCAAGGAGGAGGAAGAGGAGGATGAGGAGGAGGACCAGGAGGAGGAGGAGGAGGAGGAGGAGGAGGAGGAGGAGACGGCATGAACGATTCTTTCGGCGTCCGGTGTGAGTCCGGCGCCCAGCGTCCTGTGCGCGAGCATCGATGCACAGTGGGAGGAGGGGGAAGAAGAGCAGGAAGAGGAAGACGAGGGACGGGGAGAGAGGAGAGGATTGAGCAAAAGGGAGGAAGACGGATGAGAAGTCGAGGCAACGTCCATCCCTGCGCCCCTCATCCTCGTCCGCCTCCTGCTCCTCCTTTGCCTGCAGGGCGGACAGTAGAGAAAGCTAGGCGGAAACAGGGAAAGCCATGCGGATGGCTGGACGATTTCAAAACAGGGGGTATGAATGGGCGAGGTCTCTATGGATGGAGCCAGGACTCCTACAAGGAAGACTATCTGGATAACTTAACTACAAGGGATGAACCTGGTCGATGGGATCCCCGACAAGGGTGTACGTAAACGGGCTCCTCCACCTCCTCTTCTTCCCCCTCCCGATCCTCCTCCTCCTCCTCCTCCTCCTCCTGCTCCTCCTCCTCCTCCTCCTCCTCCTCCTCCTCCTCCTCCTCCTCCTCCTCCTCCTCCTCCTCCTCCTCCCCCTCCCCCTCCTCCCCCTCCTGCTCCGCTTCCCCCTCCACCCGCAGCCGGTCAAGGCGGCGCCCTGGGTGGGCTGGGGCGTCCATGTCGGGCATGTACTTCGACCGGATGTCGTCCATTTTCTCGCTCGCCTTCCCGCACAGATCGGGCTCCTACTGCCGTCAAGAGGCAACCACTGGGAGGCCTTCGCCAGATGTATCAAGGAAGATTAGCCCCAATGGGGGCTGCTACGCCGGATTAGGCCGCGGATCAAGCAGGATTAAACCGGATTGAGCCGGATTAAGCGGGATTGAGCCGAACGAAGCGGGGTGGAAACCGGAATCAGCCGGATGTCGGTCCAAGGCAAACTCAGAAGCTGACCCCCCAGGGGTTGCGTCGGAAACTCCCGTACGATTGGCGTTGAAAGCGTAGCGTGCAGCATACGCTATCGCTCCTGTGAGGCGATCCCCCCACGAGGGCCCATCTGGGCACGCCGTCCCGCTGCCCAGGCTCTCATTGCGCACAGCATCCCCAGTGGGCAGGGCAGCGTGCAGTAAGCGGGTCGGCGACACACCGTGCGCGCCATCTCCCCAATGCCAGCCCGACGGGGGTGAGGAGGCGGAGGAAAAACAAACATGCAAGGAACAGCAGCTAACGGGGGATATGGCGATCCCAAGACACGACTCTGGGGAATCTTCGGTCGGACAAGAAGATTTGGAGCTCAAAGCTGGGATATGCGATGGGGGGCGCCCGTCCTCGATGGGGGTGCGTCCGAAGAGCCCCTCTGGAGGTGTATCCCCGAGCTCCACTCCTCGTCGGAACGGCTTCATTTTTCGTGAAGAAGTCGGGAGCTGGGGGCGGGAAATCGCTTGCGAGGATCAGCCGCAGCAACGGCAGGTGGAGCAACATCGCAAAACGGCGACGACGAAGTGGCCTCTCTGGCACGGCCGGAACTAGGACGGAAGAACACCCTCCAAGAACATGAGAGACCCTCCGCCCCGCCAAAACACCCACCATGGAAGAACATTCGAGGAGATCCCCCCAGGATTCGGGTCGGGCGAAAGGGGGGAAAGGGGGGGTTTGAGAATCAGCTCACGTAGCTGATTTTCCCGGCGCCTCCCGGCGCCGGAAGCGGCTATGTATCGAGGAATGAGCCCCTCGGTGAGGCCGAAACCAGCTGCATGCAGCAGATTTCGTAGCCCCCCCTTTCCCTATCCCCCCCTTTCGTTCGGCCCGAAGGATGCACGAGAACACCCAACACATACGAACAACATTACAGGTACCCTCCCCGAACCGACATCGATTTTCATACCTCGGCCTGACGGGCCACCGGCGAGGCGGCCGCGGGCGGGCCGTGTCTCTCTCAAGCCGTGGAGAGACCCAACAGGATCTGCTGCGTCGTGCTCCGCGCCGGCGGCCCTGGCTTCGGTCCCTGGGTGCTGGGCGCTTGCTGGCGGGCGATGAAAGGGAGGAGGCGGGGGGGGAAAGGGTGCCCTTCTCGGGCCCTCAAGGCCCCCCCCCCTGGATCCCTAGGGAGCCCCACTGGGGGCCCCAAGGCATTCATGTCGCAAAAGACTTCCAACGCGATCTCCAATTATGCTGCCATTTTTGCGCCATAACCATATATTGGCGCATACTCGGGGCCCCTTTTCTGCGGCCCCTCGCTGCCCCCCCCCGTTTGCCGCCTCCCGCTGCGCGACGCCCAGGCGTGTGGCCGTGATGCCGTTCCGCGCCCGCTGCCAGGGCACCGCTGGCCGCCCCGGCGGGCCGCCCCGGCGCGCTCCTCCTGAGATGCTTTCAGAGGAGAGGTCAGTGCCCCTGCCCTTCCTCCCATCCCCCGCGGCCGCTTCTCCGCCTCCCTCGCACCCCCCCCGTGCTGTCGGTCAATTGGTTTTTTGCTCCTCTATCGCCCCCACCCCGTGCTATCGTCGCCCCCGACAACTCGAGCGCCCTTGCGGATTGCCTCTGCCGTGCCGCGACCGAAAAACCGTGTCGTCGTGTTCGGCTCCTTGTGGCCGGCGTGACCGTTGGTCTCCGAGGCCGTCCGAGGAGCGGCTCGAGGCGAACAGTTGGCCCTGGGGGGGAGACGCGGTTCGGGACACCTGAGGGGCCCCGCAGTGACACAAAAACACTGCGTCGGAGGTGTGGGGAGGAGGAGGAGGCTCAAGGATCGAGGACGAGGAGAGAGGACGACGAGGAAGAAGCGCAAAGGAAGAGGACAGTTCTCACGAGCGGCGAACACATCCGTATCCGCGCCCTCGCGGTCTGGACTCTGGGGCGCGATCCCGCGGACAGGCGGTCGCACGGACGCATTCCGCGCGGGGCATCCGCCAAAACACGTTCCGCATCCGCGGGGTCGCGGCCCAGACCCGCGAGGCCGCATATACGGATGCGTGGGTTTTTCGCCCACGAACTCCGTTGGCATTTCACCAGCTGCCCCTGGCAGGCGGCGGCGGCCCACGAGGTCTTGCGCTACACAGCGCTCCTGGCACACGCAGCGGTGGGGACCTTGCCGCTGACAGTCGACGGGCGGCAGGGAAGGAGGAGGAGCAGGAGAGTGAAGGAGGGCGCGGACGAGGACGAGGAGGTGGAGGAGGAGGAAGAGGAGGAACGGAAGCAGAAAGAGGAAGAGGGGGAGGAGGAGGAGGAGGAGGAGGAGGAGGAGGAGGAGGAGGAGGAGGAGGAGGGAAAGGAGGGGTGATGAGGAGGACGCGGAAGGTGCATGAAGGAAGGGGAGGGAGGGAGGAGAACGAGGTCGGAGGAGGGAGGGAGGTCGAGGAGGGATGGGCGGCCCATGATGAGCGAGGAGTGGATGGGAGGCAACGGGGCCTTCTCGAGCAGCGTCTGGTAGGTGCAGCGGCCCCGCGTCGCCGTCAGGGCCTGCCCCCCCGCTGCCGCGCGCGCCGGATCCGCATGCTCCTGCTGCGGCTGCTGTTGATCCGTCCTGCGCCCTCCTTGCTTACGCTCACCCCTTGCGAATTGCTCCAGTGGAGCACTGCTATCCCCTCGCCCCCCGAAGACGTCCCGAGAGTCGCGCGCCCGCGCCTTTTTTTTGTTTTTTGTTTTTAATATATATATATATATTATATATATATATATATATATATATGTATATATAACAAAGATGGGTCCGACGTGCTGTTTCCTCACGTGTCTTCTAATCCGAGTATTCTCGGTCCTTCTGAAATGGCGCCCGCGCTGAAGCGCGGGCCTCATTCTGCGGTGGGGGTTTTGCTCCCGGCGCTCTGAATGGCGCTTTGGCCCCAGCACGGGCGACGCTTCTGAATCCAGGCGGGACCTTTATCATCGTTGTCGCCACCCTCCTCCGCCTTCCCCTGGACCTCCTGCTCCTCCCGCTCCCTCCACTTCAATCCCTGCTGCTACTGTTCGTCCTCGTCCTCATCCTTTCTCCTCCTCGACCTCCCTTTCTCCCTGCTCGTCTTCCTGCTCATACGCCACCTCCTCCTCCTCCTCCTCCTCCTCCTCATCCTCCTGCTCCTCCTCCTCCTCCTCCTCCTCCTCATCGTCCTCCTCATCCTATGTACGCAACTCCCCTTCTCCGATTCCGCACAAGGCGATGACATCGATTTGGGTTCCAGGTCCGCTGTGACACGCGTCTGCGGGGAGTGGACGGGTGGGAGGGGTAGGAAGTCGGATAGGGCGCGAGTGCATCTAGCTTGTCTCCCCTCCACTTCCGCCTCTTCCTCCTCCTCCCCCCTTCCTCTTCCTCCTCCTCCTCCTCCTCCTCCTCCTCCTCCTCCTCCTCCTCTGTACTCCTCCTCTGTACTCCTACTCTGTCCTCCTCTCTCAACCCTTCGCCCTCCTCCGCCCTCCTCCGTCCTCCTCCGTCTTCCGTCCTCCCTCCTTCTCTTGCCCCCTCCTCCCTCTTCGTCCATCTTCCGTCTTGTGTCTTCCTCGTCCTCCTCCTCCGTGCTCCTCCCACACTTCCAATCCTCCTCCTCCTCCTCCTCCTCTTCCTCCTGCTCCTCCATCTCCTCTTCCTTCTGCTCCTCCTCCTGCTGCTGCTGCTCCTCCTCCTGGTTCATCAGGTGTTTCCGCTGCGGGGGCGCGTGGAGCGTAAGCGTAACTCTGCCTCTGTCTGCTGCCAGTCCAGCGTTGTCCTTCTCGCGGCGGCAACCATCGGGAGCGTGGGCCGACTCTGCGACAGGTGGTGGCCACTCGTATGCTGCTCCCATCGTGCTACAGAACCACATCCCAGAAGTCATTCCGAGCACCCAGGAAAGGATCGAAACAGTGTCGAACGAATATCGCCTCCCAAGGCCCGACACGTGAAACCCCTGCAGTTTCGGTGCTCTCTTGGTGCTCGAAATTCGTTCTGGTGATGAATGCAAACAATAAGTTGGAACATCATAAGGCTGCTCCGAGCTCGGCATCAAGTGGATCGACCCACCGCCACAATTTGAGGGCAAGCATGGGCGCCGCCAAGGCAGGCCTCCGCAATGTTGCGCAGACGTGACGAAGCTCGTCGAACACAATGCGGCGGGGCAGGAGCTTGACGACACGGTGTGCGACATTGGTGCCGACGCTTGGGAGGCGACGAGCAGTCGGGACTGCAACTACAGGAAGATACATAATGCCGGCGGAGCCATTCGTGCGGCAGGGAGGCATCCACCTTGCCACTCGTTCGGCCACCTTGCCAGCCACGTGCCTGAGACGCGCGGTCAGCTCCGCCAACGCAAGCCTGGACCTGTCTTTCACAACGGACAGCTCGACTTCTACGCTTCCCTGAGGTCCGACGTGGCGAACACATGGCAACATCGTGAAACATCACAACCAAAGCCCTGGACCCCGTCTTTCTGCGCAATCTTCCGAGCTGGATCGATCCGCGAGGGCCCCCCCCAGGCCCAACAAACATCGAAAACGCCTGGCTTGGAAAAAAAACAAGACTAAGGCGAACAAACAGCACGATGAGAACATCGGGTGAAGATAAATCAAGCATATCTGAGGTCTGGCGGTTCTTGAAAATGTTTCGCGCGCTGCGGCCTTCTCAGATCGTCCCGCAACGCTCCGAGAGCGCTCCGAAACGAATGTGTCCTCGTCCCAGCCCCGTCCGAAAGATGCCAGCATCCCATGGGTTCGCAGCGCTTTGCCGTGGCGGCGCCGAAAGTTTATCGGACGGCAGCGGTGGCCTAAAATTAGGTCGGGCATGTCCCCCTACAGGCGGATTTCGGAGGGAAAATCTAACATGATGCGAACACATGCTCAAACATTGTCAAACACACTACAACAAGAATCGTCCCCATACCTAGTTGTTTTGTTATGTTTTGGCATCCCTCCTGTAGATGAACACCATGGGATGCACGTTTTACTGGATGCCGATGGTGGGGGGACAAAGACGGCGCGAACATCGACTTGCGGAGCTCCGCGCGGATTCCTCGGGTCGGCGGTTTGCCGCGAGCCAGGAAGGGGGCCCAGCGCCGATCCAAGAGATCCACGCGGAGCTCCAAAGGTGCATGTTTTATGCCGTTCGCTCATCTTATATTAGCTGATGTCGGCGAGGGCCCTAGTCGCCCTTTGCCCGACAGTGCCGTGCCCGGGGAGGTTGGGGTCACGTCTGTGGCATGCACATTTTGTCTGGGGGTAGCAGCGCCAACGTCGGCCGATTCGACGTCAACCGCGAGCGAGTGGAGCATAGTTTGCTACTGGGGATGCAATCGCAACCGCCCAAGGCCAACCTCCCGCAGCCAACGGATGCTGAGAAGCAGGAGCACAGAAGAGAGACGTCGCGCGGCGGCCCTGATGACGCATCGTGGCTGCAGCGGCTGTCGTCACATAGTTAATATACGGCCTTCACCATGGGTGCAGAGGACGCTCTTTCGAGCTTGGCCAGATGCGCGGGCCATGGGTCAGCAAGCTGGAGCGCTGCCTGGTCCTCGCCGTTGGCGAGGAGGGTGCACGGAGAGTGCGCAAGCCGCGGGAACAACAAGGTCGTCCTCACGAGAGCGCCGAAGCGGGACGCGCACGGCACCCGTCGCTCGGCGAGGCCTGGCGGGGTGCCTCGGCGGCCCGCGCGCGGCCCTCTGCCGCGTCGCTGGACAACTCCACCTCGGCCCGAGCGGGCCGCGGCGCGCTCCAACACGGGGCGCAGCATGCCGTCCGACTCGCTCTTGGCCGCGAGGGCGAAGCCGCCGCGGCGATGGACGGCGTTGGCGCGCACGGCACGGCGACGGCCTGCGCCGCAGGCCGCCCACCAGACGTCCCTCGACTTGGCAGGCGCGACTGGCGCGGCGCAAGTCGCCGAGACGCGGCAGACTGCAGCTGCCTCCCACGGCTGGGCACTGCAGTGCGCGGTCGAGCGGCCGGGCAAGTTGATCAAGCGGACGAATGCGGGGACGGCTGCTGTCATGGACGTTGGCGTGGCCCAGCCTGGCAAACATGATGATGAAGTCAGTCCACCACCCGGTAAGCTGCGGCATCGACCACTACGACAACTACGGTCTCGGTGTCCTATTGGACCCGTGTGGTTGGGCCTCGCATCCGCGAGGCGCTGAGGTTCTCATGAATATCTTCTTTGTGCTCCCGACCGGGGGCAACTACCTTCGGACAAATATGGCACGAAGGGCTACATGAACCGGATCATCACGTATGGACGGCCCGTCGAGGGCACTCACGTACACATCGCGTTGCCCTCATCATAATGCCCCAACAGGGGCGCGTAGGCTGTCATGATGTTCGCCTGCTTGAACCATCTCTTCGACATCTCAGTATCGCCGTTCTCGGCTACTGGTACTCGTGCCATGGGGTCGTGCCGACGCCCGCGGGATGGGTGGGTAATCCTTTCCCTGGTTGGCGCTGTCTGCGTGGAGTCAGAGGCTTAGGCACGCACTTCTGCTTCGTTGGCACCCTGGGGCGCTGCGTCTTCAATGAGTCGCTGATCGCTGAGTTCACATCTACCCCTCGGCCGGCGGATTCTCTTCTCCTGCATGTCCATCGACGGCTGCATGGCCGCCGGGTGTTCGTCTTCGGCCACCAGTGCCTGGCGACGCACGACAAGGAATTCATAGCCATTTTGGCTTGGACGGTATCCTCGCGGTGCCCTGGTTCTCTGAGGTCTACATCTTCGTGGGTCCTCCGGAAGGTCTACATCTTTGTGGCCTCCTCCAGCTGCGTCAAGGCTGAATTCATTTTGGTCATCTGTCGATTGTACATGTTATGTGGGTGTATGGTTCTACTCCCTGGCCCGTGTGACGAGGAGCCTAAGCTGCGGCATCAACGCCATGATGGATAACAAGCGGCAAAAATGGATCGGAAGCCCATCGACACCGTGGATACTGCGAGCCTCGTAAGGGGCGTTCGGCAGGCTACCGGGACAGGTAATGACGACCTGGGCCCTGCCGATGTGCACGGTGCCTGCATGGGTCTCTGCGCAAGCTGGCCGCCCTCTTCCATCGCTGTGAGCAGCTCCGGGCATGGCTCTGGCAACGCTTCTGCTGGAAGCCGCGATGCCCAAACCGCCGACGGGAGAGAGAGCGGTGGCGTTATCGCCCTTTCCCCTCCATGTCTGGAGCTGTCTTCAGACATCTGTGGGGGGGGCATCCTGGTGCGAGAAGAAACAAGTCTCTCTTGCAGCTCTGCGCTAAGTGCGCGGTGGCCCTGGCCTCATGCGAGGAAAGGTCTTGATTGGTCCTCATAGCACGGCGCTCTGCTGTTGGAATACCATGTGGGACCTGATCTAGAACAAGAAAGGACCATAATTAGACGGATCTTGCCTTAGACCAGACCAGAGACCAGACCATAGACCGCAGACAATTGTAGACTATAGACCATAGACCGCAGACAATTGTACTGCGCCGAACGCAACGGCCGCATCATCTATAGAAGCATTCACCCCGAACGTGTTGGTACATGTGTACATCTACATATGTATATATATATATATATATATATATCATATATATAATTTATCATATATACATATATACACATATGTCGGCGGTGCCCGGTGCGGAGCGAATCCCCCCCCCCGGTAATCTCTCCTGGGGGGGTTCGAACTGGCGCCATTCCCGGTGCGAGCCTGCACGAAACCCCCTGGTAAACACGACCTCCTCTGGTAGGCTGCACGAACCCCCCCGGTAAGGACGCAACCTCTCCGTGAGCGGCGCGCTCCCTGCACGCGCGAACCCCAGCCCCGACGCGCGAATCTTACCAGGACGGGCCAGAACACGGCGGCGGCATTGCATCCCACGGCCGCAGGGCCGTGCAGGAACACGGCGGCACTGCTCTTCTCTACGCGGCCGTGCCGTCGACCCCCCACAGCGGCTCTTGGGAGTTGCGCCGCAGCCTCTCGTATTGTGGCCACGAGCCCAGCAGTGCGAACAACAGGAATGCCAGTTCCTCCTCCTGCTCGTCGAGGCGAAAGTCGACAGAGGAGGAGGAAGGAAGAAAGGCGAGGCGACGCAAACAAAGGCGAGCAGACGCGAATAGAGAACACAAGGCGAGCACACGCCACACTTCGACAGGGAGCCACCCTTCCCAACCGCCCCCCTGCCCCCCCCCCCCAACCCACCCCCCACTCCCACCCCCCCACTCCCACAGGGGGGGGGGGGAGCCCAGGTAGACGCAGTGCGGCCTGCACGAACCCCCCCGGTAAAGCGACAGGGGAGGACCCAATGCGGCCTGCACGAACCCCCCCGGTAAAGCGGCAAGGGGGGGGTGTTCTAAGCCGCTGGCGGCACCCGG